ATAAAAAACAAAGAATATGTAGGATAAATAGAAAACAAATACAAAAAAGTAAAAATTAAAATATATCACTAATAGTATTAAATGTAAATGGGGTTGGTGTGGTGGCTCACGCATGTAATTCCAGCACTTTGGGAGGCTGAGGTGGGCAGATCACTTGAGATCAGAAGTTCGAGACCAGCCTGGCCAACACAGTGAAACCCCATGTCTACTAAATATACAAAAATTAGCCGGGCGTGGTGGTGAGCGCCTATAATCCCAGTTACTCGGGAGCCTAAGGCAGGAGAATTGCCTGAACCTGGAAAGCAGAGATTGCAGAGAGCCAAGACTGTGCCAATGCACTCCAGCCAAGACAACAGAGTAAAACTCCATCTCAAAACAAAGAAAATGTAAATGGACTCTATACTCCACCTAAAAGGCAGAGACTATTAGACTCGATTAAAAATAAACACCAATGAACCAACTATATGCTCTTTATAAAAGACATGTTTTAAATATAAGAACACAAGTTGAAACTAAAAGGATTAAAAAAGACATTACACAAACACTAACCACATAACTTTGGGTAGTTATATTATATTAGACAAAACAAGAATTCCACTTTCAATAATGACAGAGTAGATTGTATTGGACCAACACTCTGACAGGTAACAATTACACTCTGGAAAAAATATTAAAAACAATAATCGGAAGGCAGTGGATAGCTACCAAAAGCAAGCAGAAACTGGAGAGTCAACATGTGGAAGAAAGATACAGCTCTGAGTAAATTTCCCACTTTTATGGCTTTTTCACTGAGGACAAATTTACAGCTGAAGTACTAAGAAAAACAGACAGAATTAAGCAGAGAAATAGACAAACCTACAATCATAGTGAAGGTTTTAATATTCCTTTCTCAGTAACTAGCAGAACAACCACAGGAAAAAAAATCAACTAGCAAATATATAAAAAAATCTGAAAACACTATAACCATTTTACCAAATTGACATTTATAAAACCTTACTTCCATTCCAGCAACTAGAGAATACACATGTAAGTGCATACCATATGTTCAATAAAAGTCACCCATATGCTGGGCCAAAACAAATCTCAATAAATTTCCAAAGATTTAATTTCCAAAGTGTTTGCCATATAACCACATGGAATTAAATTATAAATCAATAATGATAATTATAATAGATATTACAGCAATTCTCAAACATTAATAAATATCAAAGTAGACTTTCAGGTAAAAACATTTTAGAGACTAAGAGGGAAATAATATTCAAAGGACCAGGCAACTTTCACAATTTTTAGAACTGATAGCTGATGAACCCTCTAGTTGAAACTATAAATTATTAGGAAATACAGGAGAATGTGATTAATGACATCCTGAAAATACAATCAACAAAATGCAAATGATGGAATCCTCTTCAGAACAAATGATTATCTTTTATCAACAAATATATAGCAAGGAAAAACACGAAAACTATTGATTAAATAAATTAAGAGACATGGCCATCTTTTGCCATATAGAACTTAAGCAGATCCTGATTCAGATAAACTGTAAAAAAAAAAAAAAGAAAAAAAGAAAGAAAAAAAAAGACACTATAGGGAAATGTAGATACTTGACAGGATACTGAATAATATTAAAGATTTATTTAATAACAGTGTTGTGGCAGGTTTTTATAATGTATTTTTAGAGATACACCCTAAGATACTCACAGATAAAATGGGATGAAAAGATATGAGGTTAGGTATTTGCTTCAAAAATAATACAGGGATGGGGTAGCAAGTGGTTTGGTGGTTGATGAAACAATATTGGTCATGAGTCGATAACTGCACAAACTAGGTGGTGGATTTCACTAGAACTCATTCTACATTCTCTCCACTGGTGTTTATGGATAAAATTCTCCATTACGAAAGTTTTTTTTAACAAATGAAAAGGCTTATCACCACAGTGCCATGAATTATTATATACGACATGAGTTATGAAAGGTGGCTTTGTTCCAAAAATATAAATAAATATATACAAGTATGTTTGTTCTACAAGTACATCTCAACAGTGTTTCATCAACACTTGGCATTTGATGATTCTTTGGAAAAGAATTTGTTGAATGAATAAATAGGAGAAAACAGTTACTTCAAGGTTGTACGTTTATGTGTGTGTGCACGTGTGTGTAATTTCCCTGATTACTAATGACACTGAGTACTTTTTCATATGTTTTTAATATTTGGATTTCCTTTTGGGCAAAAAGGCTATGTATGTAACTAAGCAAAAAGCAATAGCAACTTAAAATATTTTTTCACGTGTGCTAGATAGATGCTACTGTCAATTATGTGGGTTGTAAATGTATTTTTTCTTACTCTGCACTTTTCTATTCTCTTAATGTTGTGTACCGATGGATTAAAAACACCTAACTTTTAATGTAGTCAAATAATTAAATGTTTTCCATTTGAATTATTTTTTGTTTCTTGTTTTAGAAAATAATCCCTGCTCTGAGATCATGAAACAATGCCCTTATATTTATTTTTAAAGCTATATTACTTTGTTTTTTACATTTAGTACTACGAGTCATCTGAAATTCAGTTTTTGACTACGGTGTTACATAAGGGTCAAATTTTATTTTTTCTTCAGATGAATATCTACTTATCCCCTTATAATTAATTGAAAAAATTCATTTTTCTTAATACCTGCAATGTCCCCTTTCATAAATATGTCATCTTACATGTATAAGTCTATTTTGAAGTACCATTCTGTTCTGGTCATGTTACTTTATCTTTGTGCCCATACCACACTGCTTTAGTAACTATAAAGTATAACACATCCTGCCACCTATTCTTCATTATGTACGACTGTCATGACTATTGTTATCCTTTGTAATCCATATACATTTTAGAATCACATTATAAATTTCTTTATAAAAGCTAATATGATTTTGAATCAGTTTGTATATAAATCCATTTGAGGAAAACTGGTATTTTGACACTATCGAGTAATTCAATCATGAACAATTTGATCTTCATAATTATTTAGGTCTTTCTGAAAAATATTTTCTCATTTTACATTTAAAGTTTTACAGTTTTCTTCATAGAGGTTTCTACGCCTTTATATTTATTCCTAAGGACTCTTTATTTTTGATGTTATAATCTTTAAAAAATTTTATTTTCTTACTGGTTAATGTTGGAATATAGAAATACAGTTGGTTTTGTATATTGATTTTTGTATCCAATAACCATCCTAAGCACTTTTTAAATTTATAACTCATCAGTGGGCCACCTTGTATTTACTGCATATACAATAATACCATCTGTTAATACAAAGTTTTATTTCTTCCTTTGCAATTCTTATCCATTTTCCTTTTCTTATCTTAGTATACTGTCTTGAATCTCCACATAATGATGAACCAAAGTGGTAATAACAGGCATTCTTGTCTCATTTCTGATTTCAAAAAGGAAATTTTAAATATTTTACTTTAAGTATAATATTTGCTATACACTTTTTGTAGATATTCTTTTTGAAATTAAAGAAGTTCCCTTCCATTCTTACTTTATAACCAGTTTTTTTAATAAATGAATGCTGATTTTGGTTTGTCAGGTTTTTTCTTTCTAGTCATCTATGGAGATGGCTTTTCTACTTATTCTGATGATATGGTAAATGAATTTATTTTTTAATATTAAAACATGCATTCCTTAGATAGACCCCATTTGGTCATATTATATTTTCCTTTTTATTTATCACTTGATTCTCATAACATTTCCCCCCCTCAGGATATTTAAAACTATGTTCAAAAGTAAGCTTATCCTATACTTTTTCATTCTTGTATTATTCTTGCTGGGTTTTGGTATCAAGCTTGTGCTGGTCTCACATCATGAATTGGGAAATACACCCTCTTTTACTTTCTCTGGAGTAGTTTGTGTAAAAATGAAGTGTTTCTTCTTTAAATGTTTGTTAGAACTTGCCACTAAAACCAAACAGATCTATCATTTCTTTGGTGGAAAGCTTTAAATTGTGTATTCAATTTCTCTTACATTAACTCAATTTTTGATTTTTTTCTTCTATATGTTTCTTAAAGTTGTATCTTTCTAGGAATTTGTTAATTTCTCCAAAAACTGTCAAGTTTATTGGTAAAGTTGATCATAATGAACACTTACCTTTCAAAAAATGTATAAGCCATTTTGTCTTGTCCCAGAAACTTACTTTGCCTTCTCATTGAAAACCACAATCATAGAAATAGAAACAACTTCAAATAGCCCAGTAGGTTCAGCAATCTGTATTTAAAATTATCTAAGGAAGATGGCTGTCTGGAATTAAAGCGCTCTAAAGCTGAAATCACTACTTCTTTCTTTGGTAGTTTGTTTCATTTCAAGTTCATTCATTTATTAAGCAAAGTTGCAAGATACAAAGATGAGAGTCCTTGCTGTCAAGATACTTGCTGCCTGTAGGAAGAGATGTTCTAATAAAGAAACAAACATAATCTCATGAGATAAATACTACTCTGTGTATGATACAGACAAGGACAAGATGCCATGAAAACTGAGAGGAGAAGTATTCTTACTCTTCTTTTAGGATTGGACTTTCTGTATTGGCAAGAATAGTTGAGCAGTAAAAGCTGAGGAAGCAGAGGGATGCAGAGATAACATCCCAAATGGATGTATATGTCATACCTAGGACATATAGAGTGAATTAAGTGTATGTTGGGGTAGCATCAACAGCTTTTAAGTGATCTAATTTGCATTTTAGAAAGTTGGAAATAAGGAAAAATTTCAGGCAGTCATAGATGTGTAACTTCAGTAATTTAGAATTAGCTAAAAGAAATATAATCCTACCTATTACCAACATGAAAACCTGTAATCTACAGAAGTTTAAAAATGAAAATTAAAAGGCTTGAGATAACAAGCTGCTTCTCCTAGATAAGTAACAGAGATAAGAGATAAGTAACTTGAGATAACAAGTCAGTTTCTCCTAGATAAGTAACAGAGATAAGAGAGAAAAGGAGTACAGTCAAACATTTCAGTTTCTATACCTATAACAGGATGGTCCATAGGGACATTCAGGCCGGTCATCAGTCTCATCTTGGTCCACGATTTGTACACCTCCATAATCACTATCACCAGGATGGCTAAAATGTTGAAAATGAACAGGATTCTTCCTAGGAGGGCGACAAATATACTGTCAGAAAAAATAAATAGGATATTCTAGATTTTTAGTGGATATAGCAATCCACATCTGACTATTCCTGAACATAAACCAACATGCTACATTGATGACATAAGCACAGATTACATCAACATGCTAAATTGATGACATAAAGTTGATGACATCAACTCAGTACAGGACTCTCACAGTAACATAATACATTTCTGGTGTCATGTGATAAGCCATGAGTATCAATAGACAACTTGCAAACAGTACTATATATATGACACATATGTATGTAAGCATATAACATAAATATCATAAACATATATAGCTTTTCAAAACTTTTAATAAAATGAACACATATATTGTTCCGTCTGCTAAGATAAAAAACAACATTGGCCGGGGGCGGTGGCTCAAGCCTGTAATCCCAGCACTTTGGGAGGCCGAGATGGGCGGATCATGAGGTCAGGAGATCGAGACCATCCTGGCTAACACGGTGAAACCCCGTCTCTACTAAAAAAAAAAATACAAAAAACTAGCCGGGCGTGGTGGCGGGCGCCTGTAGTCCCAGCTACACGGGAGGCTGAGGCAGGAGAATGGCGTAAACCCGGGAGGTGGAGCTTGCAGTGAGCTGAGATCCGGCCACTGCACCCCAGCCTGGGTGACAGAACAAGACTCCATCTCAAAAAAAAAAAAAGAACATTTCCAACATCCTAGAAAGGTCCCATGTGCCCTCTTCCAATCACTAAATCCATTTTAGTACCCAAAGGTAACTATCCTAACTTCTAAAAGTGTGTTTCAAACTTTTCGGTCTCAAGACTCCTTTATAAAAAAAAAAAAGATTAAAACTCCAGAGAGCTTTTGTTTATATAGGATATTTACCCTATTAGAAATTATAAATGAGAAATTGAAAAAGTGCATTTATTGACTTAAATAGAACAATAATAAACCCTTTACATACTATCATAACATGTCTTAACATAAATAATTATTAACTTCCAAGAAAAAATTCTTGTTTTATACTATGGAAATTTCTTTAATCTCCACTTTAGAGAAGGCATTTGGCTTCTCATGCCTGCTTCTGCATTCAATCATTAACAACAACACATAACGTGTGGCCTCTGGGAAACTCCACTGTACACATGTGACAGAGTGAATGACAGTAAAAAAAGGCATTCACAAAAAGTCACAATATTATTATGAAAATACTTTTGGGTCGGGTGTGGTGGCTCACACCTGTAATCCTAGCACTTTGGGAGGCTGAGGCGGGCAGATCACTTGAAGTCAGTAGTTCAAGACCAACCTGCCCAGCATGGTGAAACCCCATCTCTACTAAAAATACAACTAGCTGTGCTTGGTGGCGCACGTCTGTAGTCCCAGCTATTCAGGAGGCTTAGGCAGGAGAACTGCTTGAACCCAGGAGGCAAAGATTGCAGCGAGCCAGGATTGTGCCACTGCACTCCAGCCTGGGTGACAGAGCAAGACTCCATCTCAAAAATAAATAAATAAATAAATAAAATACAATTGACCTAACAGATTTCTTAAACGTGTTCTGGGGACATCCAGGGATCTCTGGATCATACTTTAAGAAGTAATATTATAAAACAACAGATCAGTATTGTCTGTCTTTGAACTTAAATGAAAATATATACTAGTATATACTTCTTTGAACCAGCCCTTTTATGTTTATATGATTAATTCATGCTGTTACATGTAGCAGTAAGTACGTTTTCAATACCATGCAGTAATAGCATCACCCATTTGATGATGGTATTATAATTTATCCATTTTACTACTGACAAACTTTTGGGTTCATTTCAGGTATTGACTTCTATAAATAATACTGCAAAGAGCATTCTAGTATAAGCCTTTTGATGCACATCTATATGCATTTTCCTGGGGATATAGTTAAGAATGGTCACAGGTTACATATATGCTCAGGTTTGATAAATACTGCCAAATTGCCAAAATGACTGTATTAATTTTCACTCCCAGTAGAAGGTTATTAGAGTTCCAGTTTTTCAACAACCTCACCAACATTTAGCACTGTTACGTTTTTTGTTTTTTGTTTTTTTTTTCTTGTGGCAGTATTCATAGCAGAGATTGGCAAACTATGAACAGCAGGCCAAATCTGGTCCACTGTTTTTTTTAAACTGTGCTAAGAATATATATGTAACATAAAATTTACCATCTTAACAATTTCTATGAGCGCAGTTCAGTAATGTTAAGTATATTCACACTGTTGTGCAACCAATCCCTAGAATGTTTTCATCTTGCAAAACTGAAAACTCTATACCCATTAAACAACAACTTCCCAGCTCCTGCTATCCTCCCCTGGAATCCACCATTCTGATTTCTGTTTCTCCCCACAGCCACTGGTAACTGCCATTCTAATTTCTGTTTTTATGAATCTAACTACTCTAGATAACCTGCTACAAGTAGAATTATGAAGTATTTATCTTTTTGTGACTGGTTTACTTCACTTAGCATCATGTCCTCAAGGTTCATACACATAGGAGCATGTGTCAGAATTTCCCTTCCTTTTAAGGCTGAATAATATTCCATTGTATGTATATACCAAATTTTCTTTATTCCTTCAATAATTGATGGACCTGTGGGTTCCTTCTACCTCCTGGGTATTGTGAACATAGTGCTGCTATGAACTCTTTGAGATTCTGCTTTCAATTCTTATAGATATAGACCCAGAAGTGGAATTGCTACATCATATATTAATTCTATTGTTAATTTTTTGAGGAACTACCATACTGTTTCCCACAGGGGCTACACCAATTTACATTTCCACCAACAATGCACAAAGATTCCAATTTTTCCACATCTACACCAACAATTGTTACTTGTGTTTCATTTTGTTTTTGAAAGTAGCCACCCTAATAGGTGTGAGGTGATATCTCAATGTGGTTATGGTCTGCATTTCCCTAATGTTTAGTGATGCTGAGCATTTTTTAATATGCTTGTTGGTCATTTGTATATTATCTTTAGAGAAATATCTATTTAAGTTCTTTCCCCCAATTTCAAATTGGGTAATTTTTTTTGGTTGTTTATAGTTCTTTATGTATTCTAGACATTAATCCTTATCAGATATATAATTTGCAACTATTTTATCCCATTCCATAGTTGTCATTTCACTCTGTGTTGATTTTGTCCTTTCATGTACAGAAGTTTCTAACTTTAAAAAGTCCAATTTGTCTATTTTTGCTTTTGTTGTCTGTGCTTTGGTGTCATATCCAAGAAATCTTTGTCAAATCCAATGTCATGAAGCTTCTCCCCTAATTTCTTCTAAAAGTCTTATAGTTTTAGATGTTTACAGTTTTATATTTTAGATTGTTTGATCCATTTTAAGTTATATTTTGAAAACAGGTGTAAGGCAAGCAGACAACTTCATTCTTTTGCATGTGAATATGCAGTTTTCTGAGCACTCTTTGTTGAAAAAAAATCTGTCCCTTCCTCTTTGATTTGTCTTGAGACCATTGTTGAAAAATTACTTAACCATATATGTGAGGATTTATTTATAGGCTCTCTAGTCTATTCCATTTATCTATATGTCTATCTTTATGCCAGTACCACACTGTTTGGATTACTGTAGCTTTGTAATACATTTTAAAATCAGAAAGTGTGAGGCCTCCAACTTTGACCATCTTCAAGATTGTTTTGGCTACTTGAGATTCCTTGAGATTCTACATTATTTTAGAATAATTTTTTTCTATTTCTGAAAAAAAAAATACCATTAGGATTTTGATAGAGATTGCATTAAATACTACCTTGAGTAGTAGTATTAACATCTTCACTGCCTGTGCTGTCTATGGCTGTTTGCACACTATGACAGCATAATTAAGCAGTGGCAACAAAGACTGTATGGCCCAAGAAGCCAAAAATATTTACTGTCTGGCACTTTTAAAAGTTTGACAACCACTGATCCGTAGTATTATTTTTTAAAATGTGTTTCCCTAAATGACTAACAAGCATTAAACCTTTCTTGTATGCGTTTTAGCCATTTCACTATCCTCTTTTGTGCAGCGCCTTTTGCTCATTTTTTTTTTCTTAACTGAGTTGTCATTTTCTTATTGGTTGCTAGTTATTTACTTTGGATACAAATTATTTGACATATGTATAACAAATATCCTCACCTACTTTGTGCCTTGCCTTTTCACCCTTCTAATGTTATATTTAAATATAACATAAAGGGTAATTTTAATTTAATTTTAATTTTGTCCAACTGATCAACTGGATAACATGATTATGATTACTTCATTTTATAACATGCTTAAGAAATCTTTGCCCAATGTCATGAATATATTCTATGTTATCCTCTGCTACCTTTACTTTATATGTTTTACAAAAATCTATCTGAGATTTATTTTGTGATAGGTATAAGGCAGGAGTTAAGATTCATTATCTTTTCATATGAATATCCAATTGCCAAACACCACTCACTGGAAGTTCATGCTTAACCCACAGATCTTCAGTGGTAACTTTGTCATACACACAGACATATAGGTTTGGTTTTGAACTCTTTAATCTTTTGCACTGATTACTGTTTATCCCTGAACCAATATTAAACTGCATTATATATGGTACCTTTATAATAAGGCTTTCTATCTGGTCATGTCTTTCAAGATTGCACTTGAAGATTGTATTCAGAATTCTAGGTCCTTTGCAATTCCTCTACAAAGTCAGCTTGTCAACTTATACACATACACACACACACACACGCATGCACATACACACACCCTACCGGGATTTTGATAAAGACTGCTTTAAACTTACAAAGCGATTTTGAGGAAATGTATGTCTTTACAATATTGATTACTGCAATTCATATACCCTTCCTCCCCATTAATTAAAGCCTCATTTAATTTCACCATAATGTTACCAAATATGTCTTTCAGATCTTTTGTTAGATTTAGTTCTAGGTGTTTAAGGTTTTGGTACTATTGTAAATGTTCCCATTTTAATTTTTCTAATATTTATTTTTAGGATATAGAAATATATTTATTTTTGAATGTTCATTTGAATTGAATGACTATGCTAACTTCATTTATTAATTCAAATTATCTTAAGATTATTCTGAATCTTCTCTTATTCCATGCTCATGGATAGGAAGAATCAATATCATGAAAATGGCCATACTGCCCAAAGTAATTTATAGATTCAATTATTCCCATCAAGCTACTATTGACTTTCTTCACAGAATTAGAAAAAACTACTTTAAATTTCATATGGAACCAAAAAACAGCCTGCATAGCCAAGAATCTAAGCAAAAGGAATGACACTGGAGGCATCATGCTACCTGACTTCAAACTATACTACAAGGCTACAGTAACCAAAACAGCATGGTACTGGTACCAAAACAGATACATAGACCAATGAAACATAACAGAGGCCTCAGTAATAACGCCACACAGCTACAATCATCTGGTCTTTGACAAACCTGACAAAAACAAGAAATGGGGAAAGGATTCCCTACTTAATAAATGGTGTCAGGAAAACTGGTTAGCCATATGCAGAAAACTGAAACTGGATCCCTTCTTTATACCATATAGAAAAATTAACTCAAGATTGATTAAAGACTTAAATGTAAGACCTAAAACCATAAAAACCATAGAAGAAAATCTAGGCAATACCATTCAGGACACAGGCATGGGCAAAGACTTCATGACTAAATTCCAAAAGCAATGGCAACAAAAGCCAAAATTGACAAATGGGATCTAAATAAACTAAAGAGCTTCTGCACAGCAAAAGAAACTATCATCAGAGTGAACAGGCAACCTACACAATGGGAGGAAATTTTTGCAATCTATGGATCTGACTTACAGAATGGGAGGAAATTTTTGCAATCTATGGATCTGACAAAGGGCTTATATCCAGAATCTACAAGGAACTTAAACAAATTTACCAGGAAAAAAAAAAAAAATACAACCCCATCAAAAGTGGGCAAAGGATGTGAACACATACTTTTCAAAAGAAGACATTTATGCAGCCAAGAAACGTATGAAAAAAAGCTCACCATCACTGGTCATTAGAGAAATGCAAATCAAAATTACAATGAGATACCATTTCACGCCAGTTAGAATGGCAAACATTAAAAAGTCAGGAAACAGCAGATGCTGCAGAAGATGTGGAGAAATAGGAATGCTTTCACACTGATGGTGGGAATGTAAATTAGTTCAATGATTGTGCAAGATAGCATGGCAATTCCACAAGGATCTAGAATCAGAAATATCATTTGACCCAGCAATTCCATTACTGGGTGTATACCCAAAGGATTATATATCATTCTACTATAAAGACACATGCTAATGTATGTTTATGGCAGCACTATTCACAATAGCAAAGACTTGGAACCAACCCAAATGCCCATCAATGATACACTGGATAAAGAAAATGTGGCATATATATACCATGGACTATTATGCAGCCATAAAAAACAATGAGTTCATGTCCTTTGCAGGGACATGGATGAAGCTGGAAACCATCATTCTCAGCAAACTAACACAGAAACAGGAAACCAAACACTGCATGTTTTCACTTATAAGTGGGAGCTGAACAATGAGAACACATGGACACAGGGAGGGGAACATCACATACTGGTGCCTGTCAGGGGGTGGGGGCAAGGGGAGGGATAGCATTAGGAGAAATACCTAATGCATGTGGGGCTTAAAATCTAGATGGTGGGTTGATGGGTGCAGAAAACCACCATGGCACATGCGTGTATACCTATATAACAAACCTGCATGTTCTGCACATGTATCCCAGAACTCAAGAGTATAATAAAAAAAAGATTCTGAATTTTCAAAATTATACAATCATGTCACCTGTAAATAATTACAGTTTTATTTTTTCCTTTCCACTTCACATTAGTTATTTCTTTTTCTTGCCTTAGTGTACTGGCTATGATCTCTACTACAATGTTGAATAAAAGTGGTGATAGCAGACATACTGGTTAGTTCTCAACATCATGGGAGAAATTCTAATCTTTCACCATTAAGTATGAAATTAGCTGTTGGTTTCTGTAGATATTCTTGATTAAACTGAAGAAGTCTTTTCTATTCTTATATAATTAAGAATTTTTTTCATAAACGGGATGTTGAATTTTATCGAATGACTTTTCTCTATTGAGATGACCATTACAAATTTTCTCTTTTAAATTGTGTTATGAACTGAATTGTTCCCCACCTCCCAAAATTCATATGTTGAAGCCCTAATTTCCAGTGTGACTAATTTGGAGATAGGGCCTTTAAAAAGATGATTAAGGTCAAAAAAGGTCACAAGGGTGGGGCCCTAACCTAATATAACTGGTGTCCTTACAAGATGTGGAAATGAAACCAGGAAGGTATGTGTACAGAGAACGGGCTATGTGAGGACACAGTGAGAAAGTGGCAGTCTGCAAGCCAAGAAAAGAGGTCTCAGGAGAAAACAAACTTGCTGACACTACAATCTAGGACTTCCAGCCTCCAGAACTGTGGGAAAATACATTTCTGTTGTTTAAGCACCCAATCTGGTATTTTGTTATGGCAGCCCTGGCAAATTAATACAATCCAAGGTAACAGAAGGTTTACATACTTCTATTCTGCAAGTTTTTACATTATGGTCCAGATGTGAAACTAAAGCCATTGCATATGTACAAAATTGTTTCAAAAAGCATAAATCAGAACTATTCAAATTTAAAAATATGAGTTATTCAAGTGCTAAAATGGCAAAACATTTTAAAGAGAATATGAATGTGAAATTAACAGAATATGTTAAAATATACTATTGCAATAAAGATATCTATCTTCTAGAAAATCCTGCCATAGGCTTTTAAGATACATGGGGGAACTGAATGTTTTATATGTACACACACTGACTAGTGTCTTATTGACACAAAAGACAAACTACTGGAAAAGATTGCTAGGATATTTGGTTTGGCAAGTTGGAATGGCAAACAAATCTTTCTGAAATAGGGCTGTGTAATTATAAACATGTTACTATAAACACTATGGATGAAAGTATAGTCTAAAACTAAGAGATTATAATTCAAAATAAGACATTAGAGTATATAGGGCAGTGTAAATAAATGAAGCAAGTATAGGAGCAACCCATCAATCCAGGATTATTATATTCAGTTGTTTTAGAGGGTACCATGATGATTCAACACACCATTAGAAAAATATAAAGAAAAACGCACAAGTATAAATAAGACAGCTAAACACAACCTAAAATTATAGTTATACTGTATACAACAACTGTTTAGGAAGCGATCTCTCTAATATTTAAGAAAACACTAAATAACAGGTATTTCAATCTGAGGGATTCAGTTTTCATGTCTGGATTCCCAGTATTCAGATCCTCACATTAGTCAGCATGTCTATACATAAAACATTTAATTCTCCCACTGTATCTTAAAAGCCTTAAAAGGATTTTCTAGAAGATATACTGATGAAGTACAAACAGCAGAAACACAATGAAGTCCCTAACCTTTAGGCCAGTGGGTTTTATTAGGTTTTTAACACACTGTAGCATGTATCTACATAGCTACATGCTATCAAAATAATGGAACTAAATGCTACTATAATTTCATTTTACCTATAGCAGTTTGCCCCATACATGCAGGATGTCCTCTTGACCTTGTTTCCTTCAGAACATTGTAGAACTGAATCAGTCGCCTTTGCATGCAAAGTTTCAGGACTGGAGGGATTAGAGCTGGACTCAGAATGAGACCCTTGAGACTCATCCTGGAATGACTCGCCCTGGGCACTTGAGCAATTTTCAGAACAGCTCATTGCCTCATCTTCTTTATGTGGTGTTCTTTTAGTGGCAATTTTATGTTTAGAAACTTTACCAAGTTCCTCTATTGGAAGTTTGTTTCTCTGTGCACTAGTCTTAATATTATTTATCTCTGTGTTACTTAATGTGATTGCAGAAAATGATTGTGGCATTTCCTGTAAAACAAATATGAAAAACGTCAGAAATAAATGAAAAAAATTTTTTAAAGATATGAGCATAATAGCACAAAACTACAAGACCCATGCAAAATGTAAACTTAAAACTTCAAGATTCACATTTTAAAGTTATCAAATGCCACTATTTTCTATGTGCTTAGTTTAATAACTTAAAACATTTTTAGTTATTAGAAAAGGAATTTGGCCAGGCGTGGTGGCTCATGCCTGTAATCCCAACACTTTGGGAGGCTGAGGCGGGTGGATCACCTGAGATCAGGAGTTTGAGACCAGCCTGGCCAACATGGTTAAACCCCGTCTTCACTAAAAAATATAAAAAATTAGTTGAGCGTGGTGGTGGGTGTGTAATTCCAGCTATTTGGGAGGCTGAGGCAGAAGAATCGGTTGAACCTGAGAGATGGAGGTTGCAGTGAGCCGAGATTGCGCCATTGCACTCCAGCCTGGGCAACAAGAACAAGACTCCATCTCAAAAAAAAAAAAAAGAAGAAGAAAAAAAAAGAAAATAAATTTACAGTTGCATCAAACCTTTACAATCATGTCAAACATTCAGTGAAAAATAACCAGAAAATACAAATAAAATATAAGATACTAGCTTTCATTTGAACGTAATCTTTAAAATCTCTTAAAAGTCACTGTTCAACAATGTGTCATGTTCTTAACAGGCTGACCCTCACTGGCAACATTCATGTCATGTCTATCTAAAACATATGCTCTTTGCTCCCAGGCTGCACAGGTACACCCCAATCTCAACCCCCCAACTACAGGACCAACTGGCCTGTGCCAGCAACTGGAACTCTCGAGTGAGAATTGGGCAATTCTAACCCACCTCCCTACTTGGCAGTCCCCGCTGGGTCAGTTTTCCCCAGTTTTCTTTTTCCTTGTTCAGGTAGCAGTGGGGTAGGTCAGCAAATCCACTGGCTAACAGGTGTTCAATAAAACGTGTCTCTTGTTTCTGCTGGCATTTCCAAGCTCCACAAGTAATTATCTTAGAATGCCCCTCTTCTCTTGATTTCAGAAAAGGAAGAAATAATTTCCACCATAAACACTGCACTTCCCTTAACCTTAAAACCTTTCGGCCTCTCAATTCCCTTTGTATCAAGCCTAGGGGGTTGGGATGGCAATCGCTTTCATACCGTTCAATAAACCATAAAGGGAAAGGGCTAGTTCTTACTGCTAAGGGCTCCTTAACATGGGATACTTTATTAGTACTTCTATTCCCAGCTTTGAGCCTTAGCAGCAGTTCTGGGACAAGGAAACAATCCCACTCACTATCTTATCACATAAAAAAAAAAAAAAAAAAAAAAGAGCACAACTAGGGAAGTGGTTAAATAAATTATATTATAGTCTTACTATGAAACACTATGCAGACATTAAAATAATAATGACACATCTAAAGATGTTTTTTAACTAAACAAGAACAATATCTATCCTGTGGTGCCATTTAGCTTTTAAAAAGTTCCTTATATATCTACGTGTGCATTCACTTGTGTAAATCCAAATGAAAAGAGTTAGAAGGAGACAAACCAAAAAATTAGTAAGGCAATGAGATTGAAGGACGAGGCAAATGGAGGTTTTCATTCTTTACTTCAAATGCTCCTGATACTTCCATTTTTTACAATAAGCATCTATTATGTTGCCATTTAAAAATAAAAAATAAACCAATGAAAATGAAATATAAGAAATAAAATCCATAGTATCATATTTCAACTCTGTCTACTTCTGTGAATTAGAGAAGAGTTTGCTTTATTTTTAAATCCTCACAAGGAGTAGGTTTAACATGTTAATTTATTCTAAAAGAGAAAGAAATGTTAAAGTCCCAAATATCAATACTATGGATCAGGGTAATCAAATATATTTTAAGAGGCACAAAAGGTGGAAATCATAATGCTCTTTATGGAACTCCATGAAATATTGATTTATAGTACACCCTTGGCATTCAAGAATTTAACATTCATGGTTTAAATTATTTATAAATGACCCCAAAATCCATTACATGCAGTAATTTGTAAGTTTGCTGAGACATAAATTTGCACTGTGCCAATTACAAAGCTCAGGAGCTAGAGTAAGCCACTGAACTGGCGAGTGAGCGAACAGGAAAGATGGAAGGTGCTCTGTACTTGGAAGAAGTAGGAGAAAGTCAGAGAGCTCTATATTTCCTAAGCATCCCACATTGCTTATTTCTTAGATTAGATGAAAATGGGCAGCATTAAATGTGGAAAGCTGGCGACTCATGATAGAGTGGCCAAATCCCCTACAATGTAAATATACACATTAGAAACCTGAGGGATGGAAGAGCATGAGCTGGTAGAGGGTGACCTGGGTGTTTGGAGATGGCAGGAATGTATTATTAAGGCTATTGAAATAGCCGGTTAACTTCTCAAATAAGCCCTCACCCTGTCCCTCAACCATCTGAGTGTTAATGTACTAGAAGGGACAAGATAAAGAACTTCCACCTAGAACAATTTTAATCAAGTAATGTATTGCTGTTTCCAAACTGCTCCTGGCAAGAATGTCTGTGGTGATAAATTACCTTAAAAGTCCTGCCTCAATCGCATTAACACTGACGTACTAAAGACTAAAAACTCCTAACCTGTAGCCCCAACTTCACTCCTGAGCTTCACACTCATATTTTCAACCACTAGCTAGACATTTCTTTCTCAATGTTCTATGCTCCTCGAACTCTAAATGTCAAAACTGACATTCTGCCTCTGTGTTCTCTGCCATAAGTTTCTGCCAACATATTTCATCTATTCATGCTAGCCAGAAATTTAGAAGTCTTTTACTCTTTTCTTGCCCTATCTCCCCAGATCCAAGCAAGAAGTCCTACAATTTTATTCCTGAATGCTTTTATAATCCAATACTTCTTACCATCCTTAAAGTCACTGCCCTAGCTTAGATTCTCTATTTCTTCACTGTGTTAATGCCACAATTTCTTTCCTTACCTCCAAGTCTTTTATCTTGTTCTTTTGCAATCTGTCCTCTAGTGAGCTGCCGGGATTACCTCTGTGATTGAAAACATTTCAAGGACCCCTCTCTATTAACTGGTCACAATGCTGTCTTCACCCTCATCTTACAGTGTCATTTATCTGAGACCTGGTAACTTGCTCTGACCAAAAGAATTCAGCTAAATGACAATTCTAGTTCTAGGCCTTAAAAGATCTAACAGCTTTGACATCACTTTCTTGGGGCCCAGTTGTCAGGTGAAGATGCTCAGTCTAGGCTACTTCACGGTACGGTGACGGAGGTGGGCCCAGCCATTCCACCAACCTTTGCTGAGGCACCATTCACATGAGTAAAGCTATCACAGATGCTTCATCTTCAGCTGAGTTCTCAGCTGAATGAAGCCCAGCTGACACCAAAAACATGCCATAAAAGAATTGCCCAGCTGAGCCCAGCCAACCCACACAATTATAAGACAGAATATAATCATAATCACTGACATAATCATGTTGTGTTAAGTCACTAAGTGTTGGGGTAGCTTGTTTCACAGCAATAAACAGCTAAAACACTTTACCATACTATTTTCACTTACGTCGTTTCGGTTAGGCTTCCTTCTGTCATTTATAAGAGTTCTCATTAGATTATAATATAATATAGATTATAAAGGAAATACATTGTCTTAGTCTGTTTTATAGCTGCGATAACAGAATATCACAAACTGAGAATTTTATAAAGAACAGAAATTTCTTATCTCACAGTTGTGGGGTCTGGGAAGTTCAAGATCAAGGCACCAGCATCTGGTGTGAGCCTCCTTACTGCATTCTTACATGAGGGAAGGTGGAAGGGCATGAGAGGATGAATGCTGTGCCCTTATATGGCCGAAGAGTGAAAGAGTGTAAACCCATTTCTACAAGCCAAGCCTCCCACCATTTTTTTAGAGATGAGGTCTCCATATGTCACACAGGCTGGCCTTAAACTCCCGGGCTTAAGCAATCCTCCTGCTTCAGCCTCCCAAGTAGCTGGGACTACAGGTGCATGTCACCGCATCCAGCTTCACAAGCCCTTTTATAGCAGCATTATCCATTCATGAGCACGGATCCCTCATAACCTAAATAGCCTCCCATTAGGCCCACCTCCCAATACTGTTGCGCTGAGGATTAAGTTTCAACATAAATCTTTAGAGGAGATAAAAACACTCAAACCATGGCAACCATCCTTTTCGCTAAAGTTAATCAATTCAAGTACCCTCATTTTCACATCTAAATTAGAAAGTTACATACCTGGGAAGGAGTTGTAGAAAGACATATAAGAACTGATGAAAAATATAGACTATTTCTGACAACTGTCTTATGAAGAGAAGTTACTAGAGTCACAAAACTCTTTACATAGTCTAATATGTATGGTAGAAAACTTCATTATACCCAAAATGAAAATACACCTACATTTGAAGCCAAGGTTACTAACAAATGTGATCTTGGGCCTCAGTTTCCTCTGAGATGTTCAATGATGGTACAACAGTAGCTCTCAGTTTTGAAGGGACACTAAAATTAGGAGAGTTTATTTAAGATACCACTGATGCACAGGCTCCACACACCAAATGAATCAGAATCTCAGAAACAGGGTCTAGTGGGGCAAAAGTGATTTTTGTCCCTTCTCTCCATTGCTTCTCCTACTTTTCCCAAAGAGAATGTAATTTTTTCCAAGTACATTGATCCAAATGTAGGCCTGGCCAAACTGTTACTGGTTTTTTGTAGCTGGCAACCTCCTGCCATTAGACTAGATAGACTCTTGTTTTCTCTCTCACCTGCTCTGCACTATAGCCATCCCTTTAGGAGTAGCTGTTCTAAAGGTTCAGTGTTCAGACTCAAACTGGGCAGGGATGGAGGGTGGGGTTTGGAAAGGCTCTGCTGGGATTTTCAGTCTAAGTCACATTCTCTGGCTCAGCTTTACCAGAGAGCCCTGCATAAAGGATCATGAAAATTTAAGCCTTATTTTTCCTGGGCTAGAAGAGGTAAATCTTCCTCACAAGGAAGGAAAGGAAAAGCAATTGGCCAAACAGAACTTGGGCATTCCTCAGACCTGGTGGTAATACTCCCTTGATGTCATCAAAACCTCACAAACAGCTTGAATATCTTGGATCTGCTCCTCTCTATAATCCATCAATTAAGATGTTTCTCAAAGCTTTTCTTGTGATTATCAAACCTTATGGGTTGGGATAAACAGAGGAAAACATGTATACTACAGATTTTCTTCTGAACACAATAATTTCTCTTGAAAAAAGGCAACGTCAAGTGACATGTTCAGAGTTCAGAGAATACAGTATATGAGGGCCCAAAGTTTATACAAAACAAATTTTGTTTTAATAAGTTTTATGGCAAATATATCTGAGCCAGAAAACATTTTGTTTTCATTTATTAAGCTTGCCTCCATAAGTAAAGCAAAGGAATTGAGTGTATAGTGACCAGGTCCCACTTCTCTAGCTGGAACACAGGCTCCAGTGAGAAGCGGTTCCTCTCTCTGGGAGAGAGGATAGGAGTGAGGAGAATATATTCGAAGACTGACCTCTAAGGTAGATGTTGGCATTTCAGTCATTTTGGTGCACAGTCTTCCATGAACAATCCTGTTCCTCTGGTTTTCCCTGAGACTGAGACAGGGATCCACAGAGCTCAGCCATGGGACTAAAAGGATCATAAAAACTGTCATCTAAGCTACCTCTCTCTAGAAAGGAAGCATGCCTGAACTTTCTGTCCTGGGGCCATCTCTATCTTTCTCTCTCTTTTTAAGTACTTCCAATAAATAGTCCTCATTTTCTTTAAGAACCCAGTGTTACAGAATGCGTATTTCAGCCAAACCATTCTAGTGAGTTAGCAAAAACTGAAAGAGGAAAGAAGGTCTACAAATATTGTCAGTTAGCCCAGAAGTGATCCTGAAACAGGCTCTTAAGAACTATCCCATCAATTTGTTTTTCTCATCACACTTAGCAAGAAAATGGTGGTTAAACGCAATCTGAGAACAACCACCAATGGAATAAGAGAAGCCAGGTTTTCAGAACAGAGGTGCCAAATTATGACCAGAGTGAAGTGTTTCTCTTTTCCAGTCTGAAAAATTTCTAAATTTCAACAAAACTGTATTAACAATACTATATTAAAGATTAGTTTTAGTAAGTCTGAAAAAATTGGGCTAGTTTTTTGTCTTCATAAACTCAGCAATAAAGGCAGCTTTGATCTCCTTATATAGCATATGATTTAATCTATCTAAAATACCTACAAAAAACGATCAAATAACATGAATTTTTAAAATCACCTTGGATGAAAATGGTAGACTCTTCCTGATCAATATTTTTGCACTTTCCTCCTGTACTTGTTCTGCTGATGTATTTTCTGAAGCTTCCTGATGAATTAATGGCCTCCTTCCTTGCTGTGTTGTGTTTAGTTGGGTTTATCTTGCAGATTTCTTCTTTTCCACTTCCCTGGATACTTACCTTAAACACATATAAAGAAAAAGAAGAAAATTATCTTCGTATCTTCAAATGTCAATAATCTATAACAAAAAGAAAAAAAAGAAGGATTCGAGACCAGCCTGGCCAACAGGTGAAACCCGGTCTCTACTGAAATTACAAAAGATATCCAGGTACGGTGGTGTGCACCTGTAGTCCCAGCTAGCTTAGGAAGCAGAAGCATGAGAATCAGTTGAACTCAGGAGGTGGAGGTTGCAGTGAGCCAAGATCACACCACTGTACCTCCAATCTGGGTGACAGAGTGAGCCTCCGTCTTAAAAGAAAAAAAAAATGCTAACTTGGAAACACTTATGTGCAAATCTCGGAAAGTATTAGCAGTAAAAGGCTAAGAGCTCCAGGCCTGCATTCTACCAGGCCTGAGATGCAAATGGGAACTCCACCCTTAACTATTCATCTCACCTTTCTGAACTTTGGTTCATCATCGGTAATGGGAATTATAATTCATGGAAATTATTAGGAGAAGTAAATGAAGTAGGATATGTAAACTATCTAGCAGAGTACCTGATACATGTATTTTTTTTAATTGAAATGAATTTCTCTAACGAGAAATCTGACTTATAGCTATCCATATGAACTTTACAATATACTACTTTTTTTTATAACTTAAAAGTTCTAGGGACAGTGTACACACAGCAGGTTTGTTACATATGATAACGTGCCATGTGGTGTGGGCCACCCATTAACTCGTCTTTACATTAGGTATATCCCTAATGCTTATCCCTCCTACCCCCCCAAAATAGGACCCGTGTGTGAATGATCCCCTTCCTGCGGTTCCCAGTGATCTCATTGTTCAATTCCCACCTATGAGTGAACATGCAGAATCTGGTTTTCTGTTCTTTGCGATAGTTTGCTGAAGAATGATGGTTTCCAGCTGCATCCATGTCCCTACAAAGCACACAACTCACCCTTTTTTATGGCTGCATAGTATTCCATGGTAATAATATGTGCCCACATTTTCTTAATCCAGTCTGTCACTGATGGACATCTGGGCTGAGTCCAAGTCTTTGCTATTGTACATATACTACTTATTAAACCCTAACATCTACGGTGAGGAATTAAACTTAAGCTCTTTTTTTCTTCTTTTTTTTCTTTTTTTTTTAATGAAATAGAGTCTTGCTCTATCACCCAGGCTGGAGTGCAGTGGCACGATCTCAGCTCACTGCAACCTTCGCCTCCCTGGTTCAAGCAATTCTCCTGCCTCAGCCTCCCGAGTAGCTGGGAAGGTGCGCACTACCCTACACCTGGCTAAATTTTGTATTTTTAGTAGAGACGGGGTTTCATCATGTTGGCAAGGCTGGTCTTGAACTCCTCACCTCAGGTGATCCGCCTGTCTCAGCCTCCCAAAGTGCTGGGATTACAGGCAAACCCAAAATAACCCAAACAGGGAAGTGACTTCTACAGACTTTGCCGATGAAGTAAATAAATCTCAATAACAATGGATATTGTATCCCATAAAATACTTACCCAAAGTTTAATGCAGTTGGCAAACCTAAGTCACTATCACATTTTGTTAACAAATTCACATTGTCCAAGGCAAATTGTCCTTCTCCTCTACTTGCGAACAATGTCTTCATGAAGGCAGAAACTTTACATGCCTTGTTCACCGTACCTCCCTTGTCTCCAGTACCTTCAACTGTGCCTAGCACAAAACTGATGCTCAATAAATATTTCTGACTAAATGAATTTTGAACATAAACAATTTGTCCAAAGATTCCCTTAAGAGCCAGGATATAGGTATGTAAAGCAATCTGTAGTCATTATTCTAATGTTCTAAAGCAGAGATTAGCAAACTTTTTCTGTAAAAAGCCAGAAAGTAAACAGATTAAGCTCTGTAGGTCATACAGTGTCTGTCAGTACTACCCAACTCTGTCTTCGTAACATGAAAGCAGTCACAGACAATGCACATACGGTTGACCATGGTCATGTTTCAATAAACTTTATTTACAAAAACACGCAGTGGGCCAAATTTGGCCCATGGGCTGTAGTTTGCTTAGTCCAGTTCTAAAGGACATTCAAGTAGCCTAAAATAACATTCCCTCATTCAGTTCAGGAAAGAAATGCCAATAGAATACTGTCCATATTATCAAACAGGAATATCAATTGAACCAATATAAAAATAATACATTTATCAAATGAAACTGAGGAATAAACTATTATAATAACTAAATTTTAACTAAATTATTTAAACATTCATCAAGAATCTAAATTAGAAAATAGTTCATATTTTTGGAAACTGTCATAAACAGGACTTAATAGGACCGTGTAGCTTGGTACAACAAATGACCAAATGCTGTAACAGTTACGAATTAAACCAAGTGACATACTGAACTAGTGGTATTGCTGATTATGCTAAGAACTACAGTAAATTAAACAAGACACAGCTTCTACACAAATGGTAGTTTATATATTCCAAGTGTCACACATGTACCCAAAATTCTAAATTAAAATATATATATATATTTAAAATAGTTCTTCAAAACTCCAAATTCTTTACTACAAACCGCCTCTAGGGACTAGAGCTAATTTTTTTTTTCCTGCATGAGAAGCCATTTTGGTAATATTAAAATGCTCTTCACGAAGAGTGTATAAAAAACAAATAGCTTAAAATGGCTAACAACAGTCTTTATATCTGGTATGGCAAATATTCTTCTGAAATCCAAAATAGGTACAGTCAAATGATAGAAATATAAAAGAAATTAACTATTAATACAAAACAGCTTGATTTTAACTATTACCAATGGCACTTATATGAGCTGTTACACTAATACTACATGAACGATAGCTCAATTATATATATATATATATATATATGTATCATTAAAAATACATCCATCCAATCTTACCCTTTAGAGGAACTACTCCCAAACAGCTATATTAACTATTGCATGTGTATACTTCTCAATTTTTTCCTGTGTTTAAACAAATATATCTACAAATACATATGCATAAACATATACAGGACTAAAAGTACAAATGTTATTATTTCTGCGGTTTAAATACCTAGGATTGCAATTTCTGGATCAAAGTGTATTGTATATTTAAAAATTTAAGAGATACAAGTGATTTTGAAAGGCTGTACTAATTTATACCTCCACAAGTAATGTTCCATAATACTCCTTTCTGCCAACAGTGGATATTATCAATTGCTTAAATGTTGATAAGTTAATGAACAAAAAATGGTAACTAGTTGTTTTCAATTTACATTTTCCTACCTGATAGTAAAGTCATAACATATGTGTATTTATTATTCTGTAGTATGTCACACATAATGCCCAAAATTTCTACTGAGTTTTATGTTTTTTGTTACTAAGTAGACAATTTTCTAAAAACTTTCTTTTATAAGTGTGGTAGATAATGTATCTCAGTATACTGCTTGGCAGGCTATTATTTGCCTCTGACTTTATTTATAGTGTCTTTTGCATAGAAGTATTTTTCCTTTTTATTTAGGTAAATCTATCAATTTTTCCCTTAGGATTTCAGGTTCCCTATTATCTTAAGAAAGTGTACAGGAGTAATCAAAATATTTTTCCCATGCTTTCTTCAAATGCCTTGTTTTAATATTTATATTAAGACTATTAATTCAATAGAAATTTGTTTCTGAATATGGTATAAAGTAGTACTTTAACATTATTTTCTTCAAAATGGAGAGCCAATTTTCTCAACGTCATTTATTGAATAATATACCCTTCCTCCATCAGTTTGAACTGGTATGTGTTTATAAATTAAATGTATTTTTTTATCTGTTTCTGCATGTTTCATTCTTTTTTTTTTTCTTTTTTTCTGGTCTAAATTACCTATTCCTCTGCCAGAATTATCAACTACTAAAAGCAGGCATCAGGCCCAGATCAGGAGAGTTCCATGAAGAAACATAATTTTTCAATTATTCAAATTGTCCCTGACCATATATGCAAACAATTCAGTGCTCTAACATTAAAATCTCACATAGAAGGCACACATAAAGAAAAATACAGACTAACCATAATATAGATAAGAGATGTCCTAAACCAAATATTAGCAAATTTAATCTAACAGAGTATAAAAATAAAAAGTTATCAAAAGACTGAACTTATTCCAGGAACACAAGCATAGTATATTACATTAGTATATCTACCAATATCATTACTTACATTAACACACGAAAATGCAGAACTATTTCTATACCAATACATTTTTAAATAATTCAACAGTTATTCCTGAAAATAAAATGTAAAAATAAAGTGAACCATACTAAACATGATATAACTATTTATCAGAATCTAATACCAACCATATAAAATGCTAAAATATTAAGAGAATTTCTATTAAAATCATGAACAAGAACAGACCAATTTTAACCATTTTTATTTAAAGTTTATAGGGTTCAGCTAATAAGACAAGAAAAGAAAGCAGTAGATAGATCAGAAGAGCCAAAATTACCCTAATTCTATAGATAATATGATTCTACAGCTAGAAAATATAAGGTTCAAAAACTACTAAAATTAAATAACTTGGCCAAGTTGCTGGAAACAAAGTAAACAGAATAACTAGCACTTTACATAAATGTAAGTACAGTTTGAACTATAGTCCAATTAAAATAATGTATAAATGCTCAATATTTATAATATGCATCAAATTGCCATGGTGAAAATATTCACAGTACAAAATTAAATGTAAACCAAACAGTTGGGGGACTAGTTCAATCTTCATCAGCATGTACCACTTTTTACAACTTCATGTTGGTAGCTTAGAAGATGCAGGAAGAGGAGCTCTATAGAATAGCATGATACCAGTGAAAATATAAAAGTTCCTTTTTCAATCTACCAGGAGTATCCTAACCTAAGAGTTAAGATTAGTCTTGTGGCCTGGAAGGCTGAAGGAACAGAGATAACTGGAGATCAAGAAAGAGGAGACTCTGAAAACCTTTGCCTAAATATATTTACTTCTCCATCACTAATGGACATTTAAAAAAATTCAGCCCAGGCCTAAGAAACTCATGACAACATCCAAGAGCTAGTACCTGAGACATAAAAAATAAAATAAATTAGAACTATATTGGCTGTCCACTTTCAACACTTCTATTCAACATAGCACTGGAAGTCCTAGCCAGAGCAATCAGACACGAGAAAAAGTAAAGGGCATGCAAATCAGTAAAGAGTCAATAAGTCAAACTGTCACTGAGTAAAACTGTCACTGTTTGCCGACGATATGATCATATACGTAGAAAACCCTAGAGATGCATCCAAACAGCTCCTAGAACTGACAAATGAATTCAGCAAAGTTTCAGGATATAAAACCAGTGTACACAAATCTGTAGTACTGCTATACACCAACAGTGACCAAGCTGAGAATCAAATCAAGAACTCAACCCCTTTTATAATAGCTGCAAAAAACAAACAAACAAACAAAACAAAAACAAAAACAAAACTTAGGAATATACCTAACCAAGGATGTAAAGGACCTCTACAAGGAAAACTACAAAACACTGCTGAAAGAAATCACAGATGACAAACAAATGGAAATACATCACATGCTTATGGATCAGTAGAATCAATATTGTGAAAATAACCATACTGCCAAAAGCAATCTACAAATTCAATGAAATTCTCACCAAAATACCACCATCATTCTTCACAGGACTAGAAAAAACAATCCCAAAATTCATGTGAAATCAAAAGACAGCCCAAAGCAAGTCTAGCCAAAGCAATACTAAGCAAAAAGAACAAATCTGGAGGCATCACATTACCCGATTTCAAACTATACTACAAGGCTACAGCCAGCAAAATAGTACGGTACTGGTATAAAAACAGGCACATAGACCAATGGAACAGAATAGAGAACCCAGAAATAAAGCCAAATAATTACAGTCAACTGATCTTTGACACAGCAAACAGAAATACAAAGTAGGGAAAGGACACCCTATTCAAATGGTGCTGGGATAATTTGCAAGTCACATGTAAAAGAATGAAACTGGATCCTCATCTCTCACCTTATACAAAAATCAACTCAATATGGATTAAAGACTTAAATTTAAGACTTGAAACTATAAAAATTCTAGAAGATAACATCAGAAAAACCCTTCTAGACATTGGCTTAGGAAAAGACTTCATAACCAAGAACCCAAAAGTGAATGCAATAAAAACAAAGATAAATAGATGGGACTTAATTAAACTAAAAAGCTTCTGCACAGCAAAAGATAATCAGCAGAGTAAACAGACAACTCACAGAGTGGGAAAAAATCTTTGCAAACTATGCATCTGACAAAGGACTAATACCCAGAATCTACAAGAAAAAACAAATTAGCAAGAAAAAAACAAATAATCCCATCAAAAAGTGGGCTAAGGATATGAATAAACAATTCTCAAAAGAAGATATACAAATGGACAACAAACACACGAAAAAATGCTCAACATCACTAATTATCAGGAAAATGTAAAGCAAAACCACAGTGCGATATCACCTTACTCCTGCAAGAATGGCCATAATTTAAAAATCAAAAACATAATAGATGTTGGTGTGGATGTGGTAAAAAGGGAACACTTTTACACTGCTGGTGGGAATGTAAACTAGTGCAATCACTACGGAAAACTGTGGAGATTCCTTAAACAACTAAAAGTAGATCTACCATTTGATCTAGCAATCCACTACCGGGTGTCTACCCAGAAGAAAAGAAGTCATTATATGAAAAAGACACCTGCACAATTTGCAATTGCAAAAACATGGAACCAGCCCAAATGCCCATCAATCAATGAGTGGATAAAGAAATTTATATATATATATATAAAATCACATAATAGCACTTGTTAAATGAAAAAAAATAGGGTGGTATTTGATAAATGGCACAAAGTAATAGCCTATGTTTTAAATTAGACTTCATGTTCACAACTAAAAACAACTAGGCTAAGCTATACATTTACACAACCTCTATCTCCATAGAAATAGTTTATAGTTTTTCTTCAGAAAAACTTTCAAATTCTGTTTACTGTTTTCTTGAAAGTCAGCATTAGTAGAAACAAAAACTTACCTCCACTGATTGCTGGTACTGAAAGGTTTTGATCACTTAAATGTTCTGCTAACATCCAAGCTGGAAGGATTCTTTTCCTCTCGGCAAGGATTCGCTGCTGCTTACTGAAGTCTCTATTTTCACCTAGGAAAGACTAAAAAGGCACCTATAAATTACTAAAAATAATCACGTCTTTAATGAATTTGCAAAATATTTGCTTTGCAGAATACTACCATTAAAATACCCATATGCAACTGTAGACTGAGTTCATCAAATTTCTTAAACAAAGAAATTATTTCTATTAGTTTAAATGTTGGATTACTGCCATATTCTCTAGAGCTTAACTTAAAATCAGCAAAAGTAGATAAATGCTAGCAATATTATCATAATAGGCCTAATTTCAGTTGTCTTTTCTGCCTTCATCATAATTTGAAGAACATATTATAAATGGATGAGATCTCAAATTTCTCACCACACTATTTGTGGGAGTCATCTGGGTCTTGGCTATTTCTGTGCTTCCTTCCAGTTGTGAGGCACCAGTAGTCTCATGAGGTAAATTAATCACGGGGGATTTTGGTGTTTCATTCAATATATTATCTTCATCAAGCATTTGACTGTTTCTATAAGATAAAATAGAAACTTGTCTTTAATTTTAACACTCTTCTGCTGCCTTAGAACTACATCTAAGTTATGTCCCTTTTCTCAGACTTAGCAAAAACAAAAAAGCAAATTATAGTATATTAGAATAAAATATATAGACTAGAATATGTTCTTTATTTCCTACCTGCTGTATTGCCATAAAATACATCAATCTTTCCAAATCATGGGCCTAGAAACCACAATTATTTTTGAGATGTGTGTCAGCCATCTTTCTTAAGGCATAAGAGCTCTTTATTTAATATTTGTCCAGATGGTCCACAAAAATTAAGATCACCACCCAGCCTCTAGAGAGAAAATGTAAACTGCAAGGGCATCAGCTAAGCTAGTTAGACGCTTGGAGAAAAAATAAATAAAATTTTGAGTTTAAGTTGACACACTGCTACCGAAGTTCAGGGAAGTATTAAAGAGCTACTTATGAAATATCCCCAAACTTGTAGTATAGCTGCAAGCTAAATGTTCTGGAACAGGAACATCCATGGTCACATGTGGGACACACCAGCAGAACCAATTACCTCATACTCCTGCAATATGCAGTAAGATCATCCAAAGTTGTTGGGTTATTATTACTTACGTATGCATAGACATGATCCAACAAATTTGTCTTCTCGAAAATTTGAAACTACAGATGAAATACTACTCAGAAATAACAAGGAGTGAACTACTTACTGATGTGTGCAAGAATATAGATGAATCCCAAAGGCATTTTGCTAAGTGAAAGAAGTCAGACACAAAAGGTATATTGTATTACTCCATTTATATGACATCATGAAAGGTAAAGCTAGAGGGACAGAAATCATATTAATGGTTGCCAGAGATTAGGGGTGGAGTGAAGGGACAGACTACCAAGAGCCATGAGAGAACATCTGGGAAATGGAAATGTTCTATATCTCACTCTAGTAGTATTTTAAATGACTATATTGTCATTTTTAGTGCACTGAATTGCACATTTAAAAGGGATGAAGTCTACTGGGTGTAAATTGTCCTCATTAAATGTGAATTTTTAAAAACTAAAGACGTAAGATTTTAGAAGTGTGTCTAGCTGAGAAGAGTCTAATTAACCATTTGTTTTGTTTGTTCATTTTAGTATTTCTTATACGGGAATAATCTCCTTCAAAGGCAGTCTTCAATTTCAATGGCAAGAATTAGCCAAAAGAGCACATTTACTTAGAGTAAATTACTATGCGCATCACATTTTTTGTTCATTCAGTCAATATTTTTAAAACTTCTACTGTGTGTCAGACACTGTGCCAGGTGCTGGAAACATATCTTGGAAATGTCTGATTGTCCTATCTATGAAAGTTCACTCCACTACAATACCCAGACCCATTTTACTCACAGGTTACAGATGTACTTCCAAATTATAATTGTTTTCAAGTTTTCTTAATATTTAACATGAAAAACATTAACAAACATTCAAGAGTAGTGATGATTTTTCACAATTTATAGTATTAGGAATTAAGTAACATCGTCAATTCCATTTCTAGTTTATTTTCTATTCTGGCATAAGTCTGAGATGAATTCATACACACTCTATAGTCCATATGTAATTTGTATTAATAGTTACCCACAATAAATGTAATAACAAAAAAATCTCAGAACAAAATTCTCTTTAACATTTCATTCAAAAAAGTACAAGCACAAATTATTCTATTACACATTTATTTAAATATCGAACACTGTCACTGTGATATATATTTTTATTTTATCTTCAAATACTTGTATGAGTAATCAACCATCACAGGATTTATAAAGCATCATTACAGAATATTTTAAATAAAAAATTAAAACTTGGAAAGTTAAATGCAGTCTAATAAAGGTAATAGAATTATCCTCTTTTATAATCACTTTATTGAAAAATAATCCATATAGCCATAAGAGTCAACCTGTTAAAGTGCACTATCCAGTGGTTATTAGTATGTTAACAGAGTTGTGCAACCATCACCAATATCTAATTTTAGAACATATTCATCACCTCAAAAAGAAATTCCATATGCATTAGCAGTCTCTTCCCATTGCCTCTTCCTCCTGCTCCTGGCAACCATTAATCTACCTTCTGTCTCTATAGATTCGCATTTTCTAGATATTTCATATAAATGAAATACAGTATGTGGTCTTTCATGTCTAGCTTTTTCACTTAGCATAATGTTTCAAGATTCATCTGTGTTGTAGCATATGTAAATATTTCATTCCTCTTTATGGTCAAATAATATTCTACTGTATGACTACACAATACTTGTTTAACTCAACAGTTGTTGGACAGCTGAGTTATTTCCACTTTTTGGCTATTATGAATAATGCTGCTGTGAACATAGATGTACAAGTTTTTATGTGGGTACAGATTTTCAATTCTTTTGGGTATATACATAGGAGTGGAAATGCTTAGCCGCATAGTAATTCCATGTTTAAACTTTTGAGGAACTGCCAGAATATGTTCCAAAAAGGCTATCCCATTTTATAATCCCACCACAATGTATAATAGTTCAGTTTCTTCACAACCTCACCAACACTTATTATATTTTTGATTATAGCTTTCCTAGTAGATGCGAAGTGGTATCTCATTGAGGTTTTAATTTGCATTTCCCTGTGACTAATGATGTTGAACATTTTTTCATGTTCTATTGACCATTTGTATACCTTCTTTGGAAAAATGTCTATTCAAATCAGTTATGCATTTTAAAATTGGGTTGTTTGCCTTTGCATTGTTGAGAATTCTTTAGATATTCTGAATGTTAAGTCTGTTATATGTGACTCACAAACATTTTCTCTCATTCTGTGGTTGTCTTTTCACTTTCTTAACTGTGTCCTTAGAAGCACAGAACTTTTAAGTGTAATGAAGTCCAATTTATCTACTTTTTCTTTGTTTGCTTGTGTTTCTGGTGTTATAACCATTGCCTAATGCAAGGTCACAAAGATTTATACCTGTTTTTTTCTAAGAGTTTTATAGTTTTAGTACTTATATTTAGGCCTCTGATCCATTTTAAATTAATTTTTATATAGTGAGCAGCGAGAGTCCAACTTCATTCTTTTGCATGTGGATATCCAATTGTCCCAGCATCATTTGTTGAAAAGACTATTATTTCCATTTAATTGTCTTGACACCTTTGTCAAAAACCAACTGGCCCTAAATGTGGGGGTTTAGTTCTGGACCCTCAATTCTATTTCCTTGATCTATACGTCTTTCTTTACACCAGGACTGTCCTGATTACTGTAGGTTCATAGTAGGTTTTGAAATCAAGAAGTGTGAACCCTCCTACTCTTTTCTTCTTTTCTAAGATTGTTTTGGCAATTAAGTTATTCTTAAGTCTTTCAAATATATTCCAAATTTTGTTTAAATATGTTATGCATTTTCATATCTTTAATATAAAATATGCTACTATTATGAATGAGCTGGATCTAAAAATACATTTTAAATAATCATAAATGAATTCAGAACTTGCATGTTATCATACTATCATGACATTTTCATTAATGTTTTATTGTTTCTTCAATATCAGTGATTAAAATTAGTATTTATATGGAATCTACGTACTTAGATTTTCAACAATTTGAAAAAAAAGTAATTAAGTATAGCAAAGGATTTACTTTACTTTCCTCATAAGTGTCTTAAAATAAATAATCTCCCTAGAGTGAAAATGTCATACTTCCTCATCAGCAATGAAACTCAGCTATGAAAACAAAATGTTATACTTATCACATTATCACTCAATTTAATATCTTCAGATATTTCATTAATGCATTCAAAAAACCAACACTTACTAAACACCCACTATTGGGGAGGAAGAATTAATATTAGTGCTTCTAAGTGAAATGTGCTATAATTGAATTTACTAAAATATAAAACCAACTATTCTTTTTCTTATTTGGTTTTCTCTTTGACTTCTCAAAAAAGCATGGGTTTTGGTACTCCTGGCAGAATAATTTCACAAATACATATGTAGAGAAAAGAGTGAAAAATGAACAAACTAGAACTGACATGTATAGACTTAAATGTTCCTTCAAAATAGGTAATGAGTAGGACTAGTTATACAGAATCTAAATACTATAAAAAAACATTTTAATGTGAGTAAAAGGAAAAACTAAAGAAATGACAAGCTTTTCTATGGTTGGTTTGTGGTTCAGATCCCTCTCTTAAATTCACACTGGTTGGAAGAAAAGAATTATGGCAAGGGAGTCCTAACAACTTCTACAAAGCATATAAACTTTTTTTCTATTCTTTTTTAATGTCTTAAATATTTCAACATGCAAAAATACAGAGAATACATGTAGTCTATCTACATATCTATGAATATAAATACTTGTGTATCCACCACCCCAATAGAAACATTTTCTCATATTTGCTCCAGATTAATTACAAATACAATTCAAGCCCTCTCCATACCAGCCTCAATCTTGCTCCTTTCCCTACCATTCCTTCTTCAAAAGTAAACATTAACCTGAATTTGATGCTTATTATTCCCATGCATGTCTTTATACTTTCATTATTTGTAGGTATGCATCCATTATTTTATAGAAATTATGTATGTTTTATATGTTCATAACCTTTTTGGTTTTTTTACTTCAACATTATGGCGGGGAGATTTATCCATGTTTTAACCTGAACTCTCTCTTAGTTCATTCTCGTTCATATAATTATAGGACTATACCAAATTTATTTAGCCTTTCTGCAGGTGTTTTCACAATTCAAATGAGTGCTATAGTAAACATTCTCATACAGCAGGGGGTAGTTGGTAAGAGCATCAACTCTGGAAACAGCTGGCTTGAGTTTGGATCCCACCTCTGCCATGTATTAAGCTGTGACCTTGGGCAAGTCTTAATCCTTCTGTGTCCCAATTTCTTCATCTGTCATATAGGGATATCAACAATACCTAGTCCTCATAGACATTATTATGGAGAATAAAAAGTTCATACATGTAAAGCTTGTACAACAGTAAGCAGTGTTTTTATGCGGTTGACCCTGCAAAACAGAGCTAGTTCAAAAAACGGGAAAATCCCAATGATATCAAGAAACGTCTAAAAGTCTATTTCAATGCTTCCTATCTAATACATATCTAATACCACTTCCCCTTGCTAGCAGACAGTGGACTCTCCCTCTCTGGAAATCAGGCAGCTGCCTCCCCTGGGTAGACATCTCTCATGATGATACTCAAATTCAAGATCTGCCCCCACCTTCCCTCATGGCTTCTAGTCTAATAACCAGGGTTACCTCATCATTACCTGACTACAGAAGTACTGTCCTTGCTTCAATAGGAAACTAAATACTCATTAAGAAGCTACAGGACCTAGCTACTGGCAGAAACCACAAGAATGTGCCTGTAATGGTGTGACATAGTAAGAAACGCATATTTTGGTCTTCATTTCTGGTTCCTGGCTAGAGCTCTGAAACAAATGAAAGGAGCATCTTTTGTTATTCACAATATACCCCTTTAAACCACACCTGAATGTATGTTAATGAGGTGACTTTTGGAAAGCCTCTAAGGATGAAGGGCTAGTTGTTAGGAAAACCAATCATGATTAGAGGGTAGGAACTCCCAGCCTCACCACCAGGGAGGGAAGAGTGGCTGGAGATTGACTTAATCACATTGGCCAATGATTTACTCAATCATGCCTTTGTAATGAAGCCTCCATAAAAACCCAAAAAGACAAAGTTCAGAGGACTTCCAGGTTGGTGAACAAGAACATGTCCATGTGCTGGGACAGTGGTGTACCCCAACACTCCACTGAAACAGAAGCTCTTGTGCTGGGGACCCTTCCAGACCTCACCCTATGTATCCCTTCATCTGGCTGTTAATTTGGATCCTGTAATATAGCACTTGTAATAAATCAGTAATCTAGTAAGTAAACTGTTCCTGAGTTCTGTGAGCCCTTCTAGCAAATGACAGAACCCAAGGTTTAAATAGGCTGAGAAAAGTACAGTGCTGTGAAAGTGGGTTTATTTTCAGTTTCATCAATACGAAAAAATACAAAATTCACTAATCCTATAACCTGATATATTTAAAGTGTGACACTGGCCTTAAAGACACTGGTCTTTCATACTAAGGGAATAAGCTAATTTGAATTAATATAAATGAAATTTAAATAGACATATAATAGTTTAAACAAGTTGTCAGGCAAGGACCATACTGTGTTTCATAAGGATGCACATTTTCCTAATTTTTGAAAAAATTATGTAATTCTATTATGAAAGTTTATTGTAACAAAAAAAATCAGTTCTTTACATGTCTCATTTCAACAGCTAGTTTAAAATAGCATGCTTCATACATGTATGGTAAGAGAAAAAGACATGTATTTTAATGTAGTAAGCAATGGTTAATGAATTTCATTTAACTAAAAAGCAACTTCTTGACATTTTTTTCCACTTACATTTAAGCATTTTTAGATATAATTTATATATGAAATGCACATATCTGAAGTGTGAAATTTGATTAGTTTTGACAAATGCACACACCCACATAATCTGCACCCTGTAAAAACACAGAATATGTCCATATTTGTTTAAAAGCTGAAACAAAGTCAGACAAAAAGTTCCTTTGTAGCTTCTTACTAGTCAATCCCCTTGGAAACAACCATTGATTAAATTTCTCTTTAACAGATTAGTTTACTTATTACAGAATTTAATATAAATGTAATCATATAATAGACACTGTTTTGTGACTTGCTTTTCTTTTTGGTAGATTCCTCAGGATTTTCTAAATACACAATCATGTCATCTGCAAATAAACACAGTTTTACTTCTTCCTTTCAAATCTGATATATTTTATCTTTGTTGTATTCCCAATCTTAGGGGGAGAACTTTCAACATTTCACTAATAGGTTTTTTGTAGCAAAAAAGTTTCCTTCTTTTCCTTGTTTTCTCAAAAATTTTAAAAATCATGAACAGGTGTTGAATTTTGTCAAAATTATTTTTGAGCATCTATTAAAATGACAGTTCTTTAGTCTGTTATGGTGAATTGCTTTGATTTTTATATGATAAACTAACCTTGTATCCCTTGGACAAGCCCCACCTGGTAATAGAGTATTATCCTTTTTACATATTGCTGGATTTGATTTGTAAATACTTTATTATGAGGAATATTGATCCATAGTTTTGAGGGTTTTTTGTAAAATCTTATCTGATTTTAGTGTCTGAATTATAGAAGCTTCCTAAAATGAGCTGAGAAGTATATCCTCTTCTATTTTTTGAGAAAAAAGAATAATATTGGCAATATTTCTTCCTTGTAAGTTTAACAGAATTCATTAGTGAAGATCCTTATGGGAAATACTTAAATTATGAATTCAATTTTTTAAATAAATATAGAATTCATCAGATTTCTATTTTTCCTGAATCCGTTTTGTTTTCTAAGAAACGTACCCATTCATTTCAACTGCCAAATTCATTGGCATAAAGTTTTACATAATATTTCCTCATTCTTCTTCTAAGGTCTGCAGTATCAATAATGATATCCCCTCTTCTACTGTTGATACTGATAATTTGTGTTTTCACACTTTTTTCTCGGTAAGCCTTACTACAGTTTCATCAATTTTATTAATCTTTTCACCAAACCAGCCCATAGCTTTACTGTTTTTGTTCATTTTCTATTTCACTGACTTCTAGTTCTTACTTTTTTTCTATTTTCTTTGGGATTAATTTGCTTTTTGTCTATCCTCCCAAAGTAGAAGCACAGATCACTGGTTTTATAGATTTCTTCTTTTCTAATATAGGCATTCGACTATAAACTTCCCCCTAAGGGCCAATTTAGCTGCATCTCACAAATTTTTATGCTGTTTTCAATATCACTCTGTTCAAAATGTTTTCCAATTTCCCTATGACTTCTCTTTGACCCAAGGGTAGTTTAGAAATGTGTTATTTAATTTCAAAATATTTGTATATTTGTGTAGCTATTTTTAATGATTTCTGAATACCATTGCTATCAGAGAACATACTCCGCATAATTCTGTCCATCTACTTCTATAAGTCTAGTTTATGCATTCTATAATTTAAAAGCTGAAATGAAGCCAAGTGATCTTCTAATGAAACTAAAAAACCTAGTATATGAATTTTACCTGTAAGTCAGACAGCAGTATATTTATTCTAATACCTCATTTCCTCAGTTTCTCTGTTCTATAGTTTCTGCTATTTTTATAAGAAAGAGGAGTTAGACAAGTGTAAGTTGGAAGTTAATACCTTAATAAAATTCAAAAAGGTAAAAAAATGAGGAAAAGGTAGTCAATTTCAAATTAACTATATTGAATACTGTTAGATGGAAAATACATTCTGAATATGATGGTAAAAGACACCACCTATGGGAGCAACTGCTATCAAGGCATAGTAAGTTTCCAAAGTCAAATGTTTTCTAGAAATAGATACACATGTGCGTGTGCACAAAACACACATACATGCACATGCCTGCACACACACATGTACACACACATTACACACCTACTCTATCTCCAGTTTAATGGTTTCTACTGGTTCCTACCGAAGGATTTGTGATGGCTGAGGAATTAGATTAAAAATAACATTCTTACTCTCATTTCATCAAGACTTACCTTAAGGTACATTCCATTTCCACTTCAGAGGGTATAGAGAGAACGCGGAAAATGTATTTGTCAACTAACAAAGAAAAACTATCTCCAGGATTCAAATAGCACCATAGATTTGTCTTTAATGGTAAGAGCTGACTCTTCTCTGAAGACTGATAAAAACACGGATTTGTGTGTATCTAACAAATTAAAAAAGAATATAATTACATGTTAAAAAGAATATAATACAATAATGTTGTAACTCAAAATTACGACAAAAATACAATTAAATATGAATTCACAACTTTGGTATCAAAACAATCTAAGCATAAACTTAGACTTAAAAGTTTAATAAATCTAACTCTTATGAGTACCATAATTATTTATATATAAAAGAGAAAAGAAGCTATGGTATACCTCCCATTTCTCCAGGAATCAAAGAAAAAAAGCAAAGTTATCAACTAACTGGTTAAAAGAGTCTTCTATTTTGCTTAATAGAGACAACTGGACATCACAAGAAGAAACATGAAAAATAATTCTTAGTATGGAAAAACTGAGTCCCCCAACTTCCATATCCAAAACACACTAACTTCCTGACAATGGCTAGTTTCCTTACCATTTATTTTCTCCTACTAATTTCTTACTACAATTAAAAAATAAGAAACTACAATGCTATGGTTTGAATGTGTCCCCCAAAGTCCATTTGTTGGAAACTCCAACCCTAAGGCAACAGTGCTGACAAGTAGGACCTTTAACATGTAGGTCATAAGGGAAATGTCCTCATGAATGGATGGATTAATGACATTATCACAAGAGTGGATTCATTATCTCGGGAGCAAGTTTGCTATCTCAAGAGCGAGTCTGTCATAAATGCAAGTTTGGCCCTCTCTTGCTTACTCTCTCATGCATGTTCTCTCTCCATGTAATGCTTTCCACCACGTTATGATGCAGCAAAAAGGCTCTCACCAGATGCGGCCCCGGCATTTTAGACTTCGCAGGTTCCAGAACGGTGAGCCAAATAAATGTCTGTTCATTATAAATTACCCAGCCTCGGGTATTCTGTTATTGCAGCACAAAATGAACTAAGACATATGGGAAGGAAGATTCTAATCAAATCTCTCAAACAAACAACATGGCTTTCTTTCTACCTCCTGAAAGAGGAATCATCTTATTTGTTTAAATGAAACTCCCACTATGAAGATCATCCACATTCAAATCAAAGTAGTAAACAGATCTCAAAGTTAGAACTATTGCAATATCCACTATTTTAAATTATGTTTGCCACTATTTCCATGTTAGCAAAGATAACAAGAGTTGCTTCAAAAAACAAAAAAGACCTATTATGAGGTGCCTTAAAAATTCTAACCAGATTCAAGCTAAAATTGGCCATTTCCATAAGTCAAATAGTCTTTTTGTCATCAATATCACTGGGTTTTTAAAATAAATAAGCTCTAGGATATGACAAGGTAATCTACATAGTGCAGATCTTTGTGTGTGTGTGTGTGTTTTTTTAAAGCACAATCTTATATAGAGCACCTATCTCTATTACCCTTCCTTCTATCTATTTCATCAGTTTAAATGAGACTTTTTCTGGAGATATCACAGCAAAGTAATTACCACCCTGGGAATGGACATACGCTGAGCAATAACAACAACAAAAAAGACACATCTTTGAAGCTAGAATGAATATAATCCACCTGGTTCTGACCATTCAATTTCATGAGAATCTGGCCATACATCATATTTCTATCCTTTAAATCTGTGTTACAAGAAAGCAGTAAAATAAAACATGGAGATAAAGAGCAGAGGTAGAAATTTAAAACAGAGATGACACAAATTTGGTCGGCCATTATTTTATTAGTCAAACTATACATAAGATTGCATAAGAATGGAGATGCAGTGTGATTTATGCAATATTATATTCCTAAAAAGAGTAGTGAATGTTTGATTTTTAAATTCAAGTTATAATTTTAACAATGTTTACAAATCTTTCACCATGCTAACAGCCACTCCTAATTTCTCTCTCTCAAAGCTGTCCTCTGGCTCTTGGCAGGTTAAGCTTTTGAGTGCAACAAGCACATGACAAATCCACAGGATCTGAGCTTGTGTCCACTGCTGAACTTGGGAATCGTGCCCTGTATTCCTCATCCTTTTGGGCAAAGGCTCCCTTTCCTTGAGTATGTCATGGTCATCAGAGTCAGGAATGTTGAACTAACAAGAGAAGCAAGAGTCAGAACAGGAATCCACATAGCTTTGGTCTGAACTCTGAATATTCTTTAAGTGAGGCTTGCTTCTGATTATAGGCTAAGGCCATGTTTTTATTCATGAGCATTAAAAAAATTCAGATGAGTCTCTAAACAACGTTAAATACAGACATAGTCCCAAACTTACAAAGGCTAGAATGTTAAATACAATGGCATAAAATTGTAAGAGTGGAAAAGGTAAAATGCTTAAGGAAACTACATTTCTTTACAAAGGTATCACAAACCCAAAGATAATGCAATATTCTGTTTGAGTATATTTTCCTCAGTGGAAAGCACTTAATATTTAAATTATAGTTGGTTAAATATTTGGTAGTCAGCAAATCCAGCCACAAAGAAAGTGAACCCATGAGTATGGTCCATGATCATCTTTTCCTTTTCCTAAAACTGTTCATACAGGAGATTCCAAAATGAAGAATAAAAATGACATTAAGGTCTAATGTTTGATCCTCTAGTGTAAACCTAAATTCACATTACTCACTGAATAAGTTAAAAAAATCAATGTCAAACTACGATATGCTCCAACTAAAATGCTACACATACATGAAGTCCAAAAGGTAGTTTTTAAAAAGTTACAAAGTATACAAAAATCCAACAATATTAATAAACAAAAAGGAAGATTACACACCAAAAAATTAGGAATGAAAACAATGACATAATTACATAAAAAATAAAAGTTTTGAAAAATAACAGAATACTGTAAATACTTTATAGCAATACATTTGTAAATATGGCCAAAATAGACAATTACCTAATAACACCAAATAGATTTTTTTAAAGTATGTTTACGTGTATGTATGTGCAGCCTGTTTGAAAGTATTTAATTTTTTTTTCTTTTTTTGAGACAGAGTCTTACTCTGTTACCCAGGCTGGAGCACAGTGGCGTGATCTCTACTCACTGCAACCTCTGATTCCAGGTTCAAGCAATTCTCGTGCCACAGCCCCCTGAGCAGCTGGGACTACAGGCGCCCGCCACCACAACTGGCTAATTTTTGTATTTTTAGTAGACATGGGGTTTCACCACTTTGGCCAGGCTGGTCTCAAACTCCTGGCCTCAAGTGATCTACCTGCCTTGGCCTCCCAAAGTGCTGGGAATACAAGCGTGAGCCACTGCACCTGGCTTGAGAGTATTTAATTATTATAGAAAGGAAATTGAATTGGACTTGTAATATTTCAAAAGTACAATCAATAATTAAAAATCTTTTCAATCCCTGCCAAAACCCCTTTTTCTGAATATTCAAACTTTTCTTGATACCACAAAAGTGTTAAGGATCCCCAACTGCTTCATGAGACAAGTTTAACTTTGATTCTAAAAGCAAACAAGGGCAGAAAAATATTGGCAAACCCAACCTCACTGTGATTAAAAGATATAACTACCTACACGAGAGACGTAATGTTGGTGTGTGCCTTTTAACAAATTCATGAGATTATAAATTCAAACTTCAATAGGTTATGCTATAACTTTAGAAGTGGTGCAAAGGATGCATTATCCCTGCAAAAAATGGAACTAAAATACAAATCAATTTCCTACAGCTTTCTCTTAGAGTTATCATTAAATATTAAAGAATGATAGATGTATACCCCCCAAAAGCACCTTAATTTCAGTATTTTTTTTTTTAATTTGGATAGCTTTTTTTTACAACAAAATAAGTTGAGGAAGGCTATTATTATAGGATTTTCTAGATATTTCACAAGTACACTTTTAATTTCAAGAGAAGAAAAACAATCTCAATTCAAGAACTTTGTGCAATAAAAAAAAACCACAAGCACCCAAAGATGTATATATTGAGGGTCAATAACAAAAGGCAAAAAAGAAAAACTACAACTTATATGTAGTTATAGAGCTACTGCCTCAATCATCCAAGACCCCAAGTGAGTAAGATTTTATTAAAATGAAATAAAAGCACCGACAGCTATGAATTTACCCTGAGGGCATAACCAATCACTGGTGATACAGTCATTTACAAAGAACATCATCATCAGTTTGCTTTTGTAATGTCTTTTCTCTCTGCTGATACTAGGCTGTAGATTAAATTTAAATGACATATAAAAAAGCTAACATCCTCTCCTCATGAGCTAGCATCATCTCCTCATGCACCATTTCCAAGAACTGCTGGAGAGCTACAGCACTTTTTGTAGGAGACATATTAGAGGGAAAAAGGCAGAAAGTCATTCAATGTAAAAGTACAAATTAGTAATTGCCCTAATTGCATTCAACTCTCCTTGTCAAAGCCATTTTTTTTATTTGGTGGTAAGTTTAGATTTCCAAGTTAAAGAAAAGCAGAAAAACATTTAATCACTTAAATATAATTTGGGGTATGCAGTATACAGATGGGATCATCATAACAAAACATTTGCTATATTCATTTATGTAATTTTACAAATATTTTTAACTAAAATTTCCCTCTTGACATTTCATTACACTTGTATAGATACCTTGCTTTAGTAGATCAAAGAATTTGTGACTGATGAGGGAACAGAGAATAAGTGATATTTAACAAACATTAAGATAAAATGAATGAACTAGAAGTCACTTGTCCATCTCATTCTGATTTTCAAGATCTTTAAACTTCCACTAACAATTAAAATCAGTGTTAGAAATTCTCTAGATGTCTTTAAATTGCACCTTGTAGACAGTGCAGCTACAATAAGCTGCTAAATAAATACATCAATCTATTTCAAGATAATGGGCATTTTATTGAAACTATATTAATATAAACAAGGTTATTAGCTAGTCAGGTTTCTAATGTGCAACTCAAGTCTTTAGCCCATTTTTCTACTGGATTCTTTATTTTTTTCTCATTGATTAAAGGCATCTGTCATATGTTTTGGATAGCACTCCTGATATAGCTCGGATATGTGTCACTGGCCAAATCTCATGGTGAACTGCAATCCACAATGCTAGAAGTGGAGCCTGGCAGGAGGTGCTTGGATTATAG